ATATAAATTTGGCCAAAAACTGCACTGGAATAAAAAAAAACACTTATTATATCATAATATTTTGATATATACTAGTAACACATTTTCACCACTGGGAATGTTATCAAAAGTTGTTTACATTGTAGGTAAAAATGCCCCCATAAATGATAAATGACCTTCATAGACAATGCGCAGAATCTCGAACCGTGACACCTAAAACTGTTCTACTAGGCTAGTTGTAACAACATCTATAAACACTTATTTTGATATCTAAAAATGTCTTTATATGGAAAATATCTATTGTTATCCCTTTTTACACTACGATTAAACAAATGTACTAACAGAATAAAATATAACTATAAGTAGTCTATCATTACATTCAAAAATATACTAATAAAGCCATCTCCAGTAATATTATTGGTAATGGATGTTGGGCCAATTTCCAATTGTGTCGACCTGGCTTATGGACGATAAGTGAGTTGTCATGCCTTAAAGAGTATTTTAGAATTTTGTTAATTTAGAAGGATTAAGTTGTAAATTGTTGTTAGTAGCTGCTTAAGTACGAGTTCACTGTTATTGTAAGATTATCAATGAAAATTAATTACATTTCTGAAATCTAAATTTCTCCCTAATACTCTTCTTCTTCCCCAAATTCACTTCTCTACCTCCCGCAAGGGTTTCTCTCACCTTCTGAAATATGAATTCTCTTCCCTCAATTCTTTTTCTCTTTTTCTTAAACTAGGTGTTAGACATATCCGATGGGCAGGAAAGACATACACATATAGACATTACAACACAAGCGAAACAAAAACTATTAATATTTTTTTAAAAAAATTATGCAATGACTTTATTGGAAATTTACAACACAAACATCAACAACACTTCACCAAACGAATACGGTGTGGTGATGATTATCTAACGCTAAGAGAATTGCTAAGAAATCTCGAAAAGAAAATATATAAAAAAGAACGCGAATGAACTTTGAATTGAATGATTATGTACCTTGCAATTTGTAAACTACATTCGTAGTCTTGGAAACCACAACCTTTATTGTATATCAGGACCTTTATTCCTTGCCTCGAAGTGACCTCCGTTTTCAGTGCTTTTATTTTATTATTTTCTTTTTGACATACAATCTATTCTCACCTTGTTTTATTATTTTTTAATCCATTTATTCGTTTGATTTAGTTATTTCTCATTATTTATCTAATAATTTATTTCTACTTAACTTACCCGTTGTCAGAAATATTTTATTTTAAATATGAGGGTGGAAGTATCTTTGTACCCCTTAAAGAATATTATTCAACTATTTTTTTTTCTCAATTAATATCTTTTTTGACATTTTTGTTAATGTCAAAGCCATCCTACTCATTCTTTTCAGATTTTGGTCGTATAGTTTTCTTAGCAATAGTTTTATCCTATTTTTTTGTATTGTAATCATTATTTAAGTATTTTAATCTTAATCGTATATCAATTTTCTCACATATAGTTTAAAGTTATGAAAGAGATGGGAGTTCAATATCCAAGCCAACCCGCTCATTATCAGAAAACTAAGGTTTCAAACTTATCATCATAAAAAATTAAAAAAAAAACATGAGTCATACTAAACGTTATACATTTTATTAAAATGTGAATCCTTTAATTTGTAAAAGGAATTTTATCCGTTGAACTTTTTTTTATAATAACATGATTTTTATAAAGGAAAAGGACAAAATCCTCTCGTGTTATGTCCAACAGTCAAATTACCCCCGACATTCTTATAAGGACAATAACCCCCCTGACTGCCAGATTGAAGGACAATTTGCTCCCTGCATTAACAAATCTTAGTGTGAAAAGACAGAAATGCCCTTAAATCTAAAAAAAGAAGAATTACACCAAACCTACCCTCCAAATTATGAATTCTATTATCCACCATTTTAAATCCGTTGTTGACTCCATTTTGATGGATTATTTCTCCCTATCACTGCCGCCTCAGTAAAATAAACCCGAGATTGAGAATTTAATCTATCAGAACCATAAATTCTATTTATCTGAATAAAAATAGAAATAGAATTTATGGTTTTGATAAAAATAAATCCGAGATCGACTAATCTATCAAAATTCTATCAAAACCATAAATAGAAATAGAATTTATGATTTCGATAGATTAAATTCTCAATCTCAGGTTTATTTTTATTCAGGCGACAGTGATAGGGAGAAATAATGCATCAAAACGGAGTTAACGGTGGATTGAATTGGGGCCAAAATGTTTAAAGATTGTTTTAAAAAATAAAATAAACGAGTTGACGGAGGATAGATTTGGTCTTGAAAAAAATTATGTTTAGATTTAAGGGTATTTCTATCTTTTTGCACTAAGATTTACTGATGCAGGAGACAAATTGTCCTTTAATTTGGCGGTTAGAGAAGTTATTCTCTTTACAAAATGTCGGGGCACAATCAATCCTTTAGACATATCTCGGGGGTTTTGTCCTTTTTCCTTTTTTATAATAACATGAAGGTTCATGGACAATTGAAAACTTTAGATAAATATTGAGGGTGGCCTAGCATCCTATTTCTATAAATAAGAATTTTAAATTTTTACCCCTGATAAAGTAAAATCTAACATTGTACTCTTTCAACATTTTATTTCTCAAATTATTTACTTCTAGTTATATGCACAAAAAAAAATTTTGTTTTTTGGAAGAAAGTTTTGTGCACAATTAGTTAGAGATTAAAGTGTATAAAAATTACAATTACAATGATTTTTAAGAAAAGTAAGTTTTGCAACGCACTATGAAGAAGTTGTATATTTATGGAGCTCCACACTTATTTGCTTTTTCAGGCATAATTCAAGTACTTGTATGGCTTCATAATCTCTTAACACTGACACATATTTTTTTACGAACAGGAGATTGTAACCAGTTATATTCAAATTTTCATTTGGAAAAAGATGAGACTTCGTCATTCTTAGGATAAACTTACAAAATTCTTTTTGTGAATTATTTTTCTGACTGGAAAGATGCCATGCGACTCTATTATCTTGTGGTCAAGAATATTCAATTATGAATCAAATAAGAAATTTAAACATTACAACTTTAAATTAAGATAATAAAATTATTATACAAACGTGCAAAGTATTCAAGTGGTGGAAAAATAAATCAAACCTTGAAAAATGTACATGGACTTAATAAAAGTTCCTTACAACTGAAACCAAAGAACTCTTGGTTTTTCTACCTGCACCCATGCACCTTAAATTATTATAGTTTTTTAAAAAATAATAAAAATAAATGAAACGGCTCCACATAAATAATCTTGACTCCTATCAGCGAAGATCCAAGAAGAGGAACGAGATAAGAAGTAAATTTACGACATGCGCTTAACTACATATGTAGAAATCTCATTCAAGAGATTTTATAGAATCAGAATTTTATCTATATTCAATTGTGATATTCTGTTAGTGGAATGATCTGTTTGCTCCTAAAATGGCCATTTTGTTTACAATTTAAATTCAAACTTTTTATCATTTATTTTAATTGCTCGTGACATTGATATTTGTTATTATCTCTCCCTATATTGCCTCTAGTTGTTGTATTAGATAAGAACTCTCACTAATAGTTAATAAATAATTAATAAAGAAGATAAATGGTTGTATTAGAGACAGTCAGTCCTTACAAATTCAGAGAGACACCGTCGCCATCTAACCGACAGCGACGACTGTGGATTCTGTGGCAGGAGTGAAACCTTGCCCCACTTATTTCGAGAATTGTCCTAAATCTTCAACAATATGGAATAATTTCGAACACATCTCCCCCCTGAATTCTGGTCTAATCAGATTTGGGACTCTTAACTTATCGTTCAACGCAGGGATTCAACAACTGGGCAACACATTTTGCTACAACATGCTGGATTATATGGAAAGCATGGAATGAAGACTAGTTCGAAGGAAAATATAGCAGCACCAGGGAGCTTACCTCGAGATGCACAAGAAATTTTGAGATCCAATCAGCTGACTTCTCCGAAGCCATGCAAGACAAACGCAATACAGGCCGCTTATAAAGGGGTGGTTGCCGGAACAGGGGTGGTTGCCGGAAAATACTTCAGAGGAGAGAAAGGGGCGATATGATTGTTGCCGCGAGCTTGGATTTGTTTCCTTGCATTGTGTGCATTTGAAATTGATCTCAAAAAAGGCAGCCCACAACTCTGCCTCTAGTATAGAACAGTCACCCACTTCGGCCATAAACCCAGCAATCCAGCTCCCTTCGTCGTTCCTCAGTAGACCGCCGGTTGCAGCTTTCGCTGGATTAGAAGATACTGCCGCATCTGTGTTCAGTCAGTCCTTACAAATTTAGAGAGACACCGTCGCCATCTAACCGACAGCGACGACTGTGGATTCTGTGGCAGGAGTGAAACCTTGCCCCACTTATTTCGAGATTGTCCTAAATCTTCAACAATATGGAATAATTTCGAACACATCTCCCCCCTGAATTCTGGTCTAATCAGATTTGGGACTCTTAACTTATCGTTCAATGCAGGGATTCAACAACTGGGCAACACATTTTGCTACAACATGCTGGATTATATGGAAAGCATGGAATGAAGACTAGTTCGAAGGAAAATATAGCAGCACCAGGGAGCTTACCTCGAGATGCACAAGAAATTTTGAGATCCAATCAGCTGACTTCTCCGAAGCCATGCAAGACAAACGCAATACAGGCCGCTCCGATCTGGAAGTGGTCACCCTAGGAATACGTGCGCCTGAACACAGATGCGGCAGTATCTTCTAATCCAGCGAAAGCTGCAACCGGCGGTCTACTGAGGAACGACGAAGGGAGCTGGATTGCTGGGGTTTATGGCCAAAGTGGGTGACTGTTCTATACTAGAGGCAGAGTTGTGGGCTGCCTTTTTTGAGATCAATTTCAAATGCACACAACGCAAGGAAACAAATCCAAGCTCGCGGCAACAATCATATCGCCCCTTTCTCTCCTCTGAAGTATTTTCCGACAACCACCCCTGTTTCCTAATCCCTCTCTACTCTCCTAAAAATGGATACAGAGGAGCCATGCTTGATGGAACATGATGCTGATAATCCAGCAACGAAAAAAGTGAGAAATAGAGACGACCCAAATCAAATATCACCGAGAATTTCTCCCGAGTCCATTTCCGAAGAAAGTGGGGAAATCCAATCTTTCAAAAATTCACTACTCCAAGGCCAACAACCCCAGAAATCCAAAGGTTTCCACCTAGAAGAGGTCACAACAGAGCCAGGTGAAGTTACCCACACGGTGGAGAACGGAATGCCGGCGATTAAATTCGCCGACACAGTTAAACCGAGGATGGAACGCGCTATGTCCTACTCCATAGTGGTAATACCATTGGGCAGAAACTTCAGTTTCCTTGCAATACGCAAACCTTGTATGAACCTCTGGAATCCCAAAGGGGACATCCACTTGGTAGACTCCATTGATGGCTACCACATCATTCGGCTTACACACAAGGAAGACTACTACAATGCCTTATTGAACGGACCTTGGACAATCGTTGATCATTACATCACTGTACTCCTTTATAAGCTGAACTTCGACACAAAGGCGGAGAATATTTCAACGGTGGCAGCGTGGGTGAGGATCCCGGGCTTACCGGTGCATTACTTCCACGGAGCCCTGCTCAGAGATATTGCGAAACCTTTGGGGAGTTACTTAAAAGCGGACAACAACCCTTTGTTGGCGGAAAGAGGTAGATATGCGCGAATCGTAGTGGAATTGGATCTCACAAAACCTCTCGTTGGCAAAGTGAAGGTGGATCATAGAATCTTCACAGTGGAATATGAGGATTTGAGGAGGACTTTCTTCAAATGTGGGAAATATGGCCATACCATTGAGGAATGCCCGGAAGCTCCGGCAACACCGCCGGAAGAAGACCCTCAATCCACCGTTGTCTCGATGGTACCCAACCCAATTGGACAAAACGGAGTGCAACGGGAATCCAGATCGGCTCTAATGATCGATAGCAACGGTGACAAGACAGCAGAGTCCCCAAAACAAACAAAACCCAACCTCAATTTGGGCGAGTGGAGCTACGCGCCCAAGGGGGGAAGAAGACCGGTGAACCCTGCTCAACCTTGAAATACAAACACCTCTTTCGCTCAAAACAAATCGGCTAAAGAGACTCTCCCCCAAAAGAACCCTTTTGTGCCTCTCGCTGAGATGGATGGGGAATCGTCGGAACCCCTGCAGCAGAAAAAATACGAATGGTCTACGGTAAGACAAGGTAAGGTCCATGATTTCATTCCTAACCCAGAATCATCCTTTACTTTTGGCTCCTCTAGCAAGCCACAGTTACAAAACAAAAGACCACCAAAGACACAACAGATGGGCCTGGACACTCAACCAAAAATTACAAAGAGGAAACCGGATCATCCGAGCCGAGAAAGACCATGGGCCAAGAAAGCGGCCAACAATGAAACTCAAGCCCAACAAACAGACCCAGCTTTGACTAGCTGCTCCTCAACCCGTTTGGGCCAGGCCCCCCTTCCTCCAACCCACCCTCCCTCACCGATTCTTCACACAGAAACAATCCCAACCCAAGCCTCCCCTTTAGAAAAGCAAGTTGAAAGTAATCAGACACAACCTCAGATCGCCGGCGAAAATACCAAACATACAGCCATCTCCATTCCCCACCCAAACCCCCGCCGACCACCGACGATGAACTCCACACCAGATATCACCAATTTTAATGTAACAACACCGGAGCCGGTCTTAGATAAACCCCCCGATCCCTCCCGCTCATTCCATCTTAAATCCAACCTCCAACTTTGGTCGGAACACTGTGTCAGGCCACCGGATCGGAGATCAGAGCAGGAAATCCAAGATGAGACAGCGCCATCCGCTATGATTGAGGACCAACGTGAAGTGGCCGAAGAAGACCACTGGTCCGAAAATGACGAGGAGACTCTGCCAGAATATCAGTTTGTGATCTCCTCCCCAATCTTAATTTTTTAAAATGGATATAAGACTATTAGCATGGAATTGCCAGGGCATTTGGAATAAAAAAACTATTTCTGCATTACGAGATATGATAAAAAGGCATAAAATTCAATTTCCTACCATTTTCGAACCTCATATTAATGGTCCCTCTGTAATTGATATAATCACTGAGATTGGGATGTCTAATTCCGATAGAGTTGAGTCAGTTGGTCACTCGGGAGGCATCTGGCTTACTTGGTGTGACTCATTAACAATTTCTGTCATTTATAACGATTGGCAGTGCATTCATGTGAGAATTACGTTTCCAGATAACTCTTCCTGTATAGTGACCACAGTGTACGGTAGCCCACTAGCGCCAACCAGACGAACACTGTGGTCAAACCTTGATGTTGTTGCAGTTACTGTTGATGGTCTGTGGATCATCATGGGGGATTTCAATGCTTTCACAAAACAAATAGAAAGGTGGGAGGCAGAAGATCGTATGGGTGCAAAAGATTTCGGCAGTGGATCGAGAAAAACGAGCTGAATGATATGGGATTTTTTGGGTCTCGTTTTACATGGTCTAATGGATGGGTATTTGAGAGATTGGATAGAGTGTTGGCTAATGATAAATGGGAAGAGAGTTTCGTCGACACTTCTGTTGTACACTTACCAAGGACGGCATCCGACCACTCGCCATTGCTGGTTAAGTTCAAAACTAAATTGAACAAGCACAGAAAGTCGATGCTTTTCAGATATTTATCGGCATGGGAAGCCCATGATAGGTGGGATTCATGGTTTAAAGACAACTGGAGGTCCGATCTCTGTTTCATGGAAGCTCAGAAACTATTGATACACAGTCTTGAGGATTGGAAATATAACATCTTCGGCAATATTTTCAAGCGGAAGGACAAGATTTTGGCACGGTTGGGGGGAATACAGTGAATCTTCCCCATCCATCAGTCTTCTTTCTTAAGAGAGCTAGAAAAATCACTGAGGCAGGAGTATGAGGAAGTCGTCACGTAGGAAGATCTTCTTCGAGCACAGAACTCTAAATCCTTGTGGTTAGTACAAGGGGACCGAAATACTAAGCACTTCCACGTAGCTCACCTTCAGGGGAATAGAAAATCCAGTATAAAAGCTATACAGTTGGATGATGGTTTGTGGTGCACTGACCCTGCTGCCCTGAGTGCAGAAGCCACACGGTTTTTCAAGGAAGTTTATACAGATGGAAACATGAACAGCTGCGCCTATCACATTAGGGGTAGTTTCCCTGCTCTCTCGGATGCAAAGAAGCTGATGCTCTCTCGCGAGCTCAATGATGAAGAGGTCAGATTGGCAATCTTTGAAATGCATAAGTTCAAAGTTGGAGGCATTGATGGATTCAACGCGGGCTTTTATCAGCACAACTGGGAAACCCTTTCTGCTTCAGTCTGTAAACTCGTCGGAGGGACCATGGAATCTGGAATAGTAGATGAAAACATCAACAAGGCCTTAGTGGTTTTGATTCCAAAAATAAAGAATCCAGAGAGGTTTCAAAACCTTAGACCTATTAGCCTAATCAATGTCTCAGCTAAAATCATCTCTAAAGTTGTCGCCAATCGATTGAGGAGTGTAATGCCAACACTAATTCAGCCTACCCAGTCCAGTTTCATTCCCGGCAGAAGCATAGTGGAAAACATCATTCTCACACAAGAAGCCATCTATTCTATGCGCTTAGCAAAAGGCCGTAAAGGGTGGCTAGCTCTGAAAATAGACCTGGTTAAAGCTTATGATAGAGTTCGAGTTTATCAACGATACGTTGGATGATGCGGGTATCCCAAGCGGTCTGAAGAGGGTGATTATGAGTTCCTTGGAAACGGGATCGACGCAAATTCTGTGGGACGGAATCATTGGAGAAGAGTTCAAACAAAATAGAGGTGTTCGGCAAGGAGATCCGGTGTCTCCTTACCTCTTTGTGCTATGTATGGAACGATTGACACAGGCGATCAACCAGCAAGTAGAAGCCGGTTGCTGGAAACCATTGATTTTTGGCAATGAGAATGTGCCTTTGTCTCATCTACTGTTTGCTGATGACTAGGTTCTCTTTGTCGAGACGAGTCTAGAACAAGTTGTAATAATTTGCCAGACTTTAGACCTTTTGTATCATTCGACAGGGCAGACGGTAAGCCAAGAAAAATCCATTCTCTACGTGTCACCGAATGTCGATCAAACGGTGGCCCAAGCGTGTAGCGAATACTTGGGGGTCAGGCTGGTAGACAACCTGGGTAAGTATCTTGGAACCCCCATAATCCATAGGAGAGTAAAGAAGGACTTATACGAGGAATGGGTGGAAAAGGTCCAGCAAAGGGCTTCCAAATGGAATCCCCAAAAGATTTCTATGGCGGGACATTTGACATTGTGCCAATCGATCCTATCCGCCATACCGGTGTACTTGATGCAATCAACAATGCTACCCAAAGGCATATGTGATGAATTCGATAAAGTGAGTAGAGGATTCCTGTGGGGTAACAAACCCGGAGGCAGAAAATTAAGCTTAGTAAAATGGGATACAGTATGCCAACCTAAAACGAGAGGAGGTTTGGGAATGAGGAAGGTGAAGGAATTTAATACAGCGTTTTTGCTGAAATTTGCATGGGGCTTAATATCTGGAGGTGATAACCTATGGAAAAGAGTGTTCAAGGCTAAGTACAACCTTCCTGAGCATGGTCTGCCTATGGAGCTATCTACAACTAAGGCCTCTAATTTGTGGAGGCAAATCTCAAAAATCTGGAGTATAGCTCTCACGGCAATAAAGTGGATTATTGGAGATGGGTGTAGCATCAAGTTGTGGCTTGCAACTGGATTGATGAATCCGGAATCCCTCTAATCTCTCATGCTACAGCCCCAGTACAAGAAGTTTCTCTGTACAAAAGGGTTGCTAATTTTTCAGATGAAAATGGAAACTGGATTTGGGAGGCCTTTTTTGATCTCCCTCCTCCCCCCCGAAATCTTGGACGAATCGAGCTATCCCCTCTCCTCGAAGTTCACTGGGAGCTGACCGACCCATTTGGAGACTCTCTAAGTCTGGCATTTTCTCAACTATGTCAGCTTATAACTTTTTGATGGAACAAAAGTGGGAACCTGCAGACAATAACTGGAGTGTGATTTGGAACTGGCCCGGCCCCGAGAAAATTAGGATTTTTCTATGGCTTTTGTACAAGGGAGTTTTGATGACTAATTATGAAAGAAGGAGGCGTCATCTCACGGAGGATGGGAGCGGAGCTGTCACATTTGTGGCCAGGATGAAGACCTCTTCCACCGCTTCCGTGACTATTTTATAAGCAAAGAGCTCTGGCGTAGTCTAAACAGCAACCTGGGAACAGACTTTTGGTATGTGACTGATTGGAAGCTTTGGATCTCTTCTAACCTCAAAGCTTCTTTTTTGCAGGATAACTCCAAGTGGCAGGGCTGGTTTGCAATAGCCTGTTGGAACCTTTGGAGGACAAGGAATGACGAAGTCTTCAACAATGAAAATATATCACAAAGGACTCTATTTTTCTCTACCAGAGCAATGGTGAAGGAAATCGAGCGTTCTCTTTTGATTTTTGCTCACAGGAACACTCGGTCTCATCTTGCACTTCCTCGACATCAATGGACACCTTCCCCCCTTGAAATTATCAAACTCAATACTGATGGCGCCTCCACAATAGCCACGAACAACACGACGGCAGGGGGGTGCTCAGGAATTGGGATGGCAACTGGATACTGGGTTTTGCCGCAAACTTGGGTAGATGCAGCAGTAAAGAAGCCGAATTTTGGGGTGTGCTTCATGGTTTGATGGTGGCCTGGGATCTTGGTTTCAAGAAGATTATCCTCGAAGTCGATTCATTGGAAGTAAAGCACCTTTTGTCAAACGAAGACTCTTCGTTTGTGAATAGTCATGTATTCTATAGAGTTAGAGCTCTTCTTAGCCGGAATTGGCAGGTTTTGATTCAGCATGCCCGACGCGAATGTAACTCGATCGCGGATGCATTGTCACAATTTGGGTTCTCATGCCCAGTGGGGGTACATATTTTGACATCTCCCCCTTTTGCAGACAAAACGACTCTAGATTTAGATAGGACCCAATATAGCTAAGCCCTCGGGGTTCTTCCAACGTATATAAAAAAAATAATTAA